TGGAAGTCGTGGTTAATTAATTCATTCTCAAACTAGAGTCAAAATACTTCACGGTAATTCAGAATTGGAAGTACCCAGAAGGATTCGGACTTTTTTATCCGATAGCTTACATAGGCTAGTCTCCAGCTGATATACTGTAACACAAGTTAATAGTAAATGTTAAAGAGTTACAGAAACTTGATGTACAATTATCATATAGTTTGGAAGTACAGGAAATGCGCTGAAGTACGACATTTTCGCTCCTCCGCCTTGGCCTTGAACATTCCACACTATATTTACTCTCATTTAAGTGTGACGCTTTCAATTTCTTCTAAAAAATACAGTTATAGTGTTATTTTAAGCCTTCAAAGTCAAAGTTAATGAGCCATATCCAGTCTTACCTACATAATCGATTCATTTCTTTAAGTAAAGTACAAATCTTGAATATTGTAGAAGATAGTAACGCAACTAGTCAGATATCATGTCAGTTATTTTATTCGATTGTGTCATTTTCACTATTAGCAAGACTCTGCCAATGCTGAGCTAATCAGAAAAAGATAATGAAGCAAACAAACTATTATTGAACCGAAAAATTTCTGGTGTGATCAGTGATGGTTCACTGTATTCAAGATCATAAGACAGTTACAATGCAGCAACTATTTCTCTCTTCGAATCATCTGCATTTGGCTACTATCTATAATGACACCGGTTTGATATATTACAACAATAGACAGCACTGGAAAACTTTCGAGTTTCATAAAAAATTTACTTGAAATCCGGGAGAAATCTCTTTCTCTGAATCGTCTAGATTTGTCTGCTAACTACAACAATATTAGTATGATGTAGCACAGCACAGGACATTACTCGATAGCACTCTTACATATGGCGCATGCTATTGACATTTTAAAATATGTACTGTCTGAAAATTATCCTAGTTTTCAGAAATGCGGAGAAAATCTAGCTGAAAGACAAAATAAAAATAAAGATAACTGCAATTTTCTTTGATTTTTACCAATAAATGAAATTTCCTGACTGTAGCCATGCATTTTCTAAAAAAAGAGACTATAGTAGAAGCTCTTTATATGCTCTTCCCTTAGATAAATCGTTAAACCTTCAAGATGATTTTGACAGAAAACAGATTCCATGAATAATTGATGATTGCGAATGAAGTATGAGTATTGTATGAATGTATGTGAACTGAGGATCCACATCTACTTCGGTCCAGGCTCTACACCCACACGTTCACAACATAAGACCTATTCATTACTACAGTTGCCTTAAGCTTACTTATATCCACAAGTAATACAAAGATTAGAGACAGCTGATTTGTTCGCATTGTTTGAGTGACCATAAATTTGTCAAATGTGATCGAAAAGAAACTTCACCAATGCGAAATATTCTGTTCAGAAACTAATTTCTCACGTTTCACTGGCTCAACAATGCTGAAACCTATCTCAGCCAAAGAATTGTCGATTTAGGTGATTAACAGCAATTTTCACTTTTACATAGCTTTATCCTTGTCATCATGGATATGAATGGAGATGCTGATATTCTATGGCTATTGCTTCTCATTGGATTTCTATCGGAATTGTTTTCACTGATTGTTGTTTGGTTGCAGATGCGAGTTTAGTTTCGATGGCGTTGGGGACAAACAGATGCATAATTTTCATTTCTGTTCTGTTCTATCACATATTGATAGAGATATAAACGAAAATATTGGAGAAAAGAACACATCGTACCCACGCACTTCGTCAAACATAAGCATTTTAGTTGGAAATCTGTTGTTTAAAACCCTAACTGCGTAATATGACCACGGAAGTAACTAAAAAAAAATAGATTAATGATATGAAGATTATCTCTTACCATGTTCGTTGCAAAGGCAACAGATGTGTATTTCTCACGACGTTTTTTTCCAAGATTGGAAGAAACATTTTTTGCGTCATCCTACACACAAGAGCGCTCCACATCTGACGAGTCTCATTTGAGCCCAACACATCAGAAGAGCGACAATATTATTAAATAGTAATATCATACAAAAATTTCGGAGTGGGATAGACGACAGAACTTTTTGATCCGTGCGAGTTGCTCATCGAACAAAGACTTGCTTGCTGTTAGCCTCTCGTTGCTGAATAAATGTTATCGATGCATATTTGCATAAGAGAACTCTCGATAACTTTCATTTGAATCGTCATTTCGTTTTACATAACATTAAAATACTCACGAATGCTCTTAAAATCAAGAATGATTATGAATCATTATTCGCTGAGAATCCATTTTCATCAAAGTACATAGCCTAGTAAAAATCTTTCACGGAAAGATCAATAATCGCAGAATATTTTTCACTTGAAGATAAACCTGGCGCATTCAAGAATTATTCTTGTTAATTCGCTACCTATTTTCTGCCCGATTTCGTCACAATAACGGTAGCATGATGGCAAAAAAGTAACACAATAATCTGTTATTCAATTCCTTTTTCTGTTTTCTTTTTATCTAGATTCAATCATAATCGTTCCTTTAGACTGTTGAAACGTACGATTTATTTTATGACATATAACACTTGAAAAAATCCAAATTTCAAAAGAGTTCATGTTGAAACTGTATTCAAAAGTCTCAACAATGAGGAACGTTGCCTGAGCAGTAGAGACTGCTCACATAGCCATAGTCGCCCGTTTCAAGGTTGAGTCGATACCATATATTTGTAGTACCATCAGCAGTGGCCACATAATCTCCAATGACGTAGCAATCGGATGAATAGCTCCGGCCACCATAAATCTCGCTGATTTGTCGACAACTGGAAGACGTACACGTTCGAATAAGAGTCCAGTTGTGACATATTATAGTGTCAGCCTTTTGATATGAAAATAAATTCAATGAGCTAAAGTAGATACTGATCAAGTAAGATACATACGTTACAATCAGCGATTATTATGAATAGTACAATGAAACGCAAGCCTATAAACATTTTTCAAGACGGTAGCAAATTCGTCCTTTCGTAGTTGTCGTCTAATGCTTTGATTGATGGTTCTCAATTTATGTGTTGGAATATGTTATACATATATGTATATATCATATGTGCCTTATCTCTCCGTTCGGAAGTAGAAAACTGACGAGTCATTGTTTGAAAACAATATTTTGAATATTTTCTTTTCAGAAAAGGCAGTGGGCTAATAATTAACTTGGTAATGCGTAGGTGTAAAATGTTCCGTACTCTCGTACATATATATATATTAGTCTATGAGAAAGAATAAATTAATCGACTTCAAACGAACGAATTTTTATTCAAATTAACAAACATAAACCAATATTGTGATGAAATCAGCTCATGTTTTGGCTCTCATTATCATTATACTCTTTGTTATCGATTTTCATTGTGAGGTAGGCATTCTTACTTAAGAATGTTTTCGCTGTTTAATTTCATTTGTTTTTATAATACAAGGCTAACAACATCATATGCCTTCGATGGGCACGTGTTCGTGCTTGTCCGGCTCCCTACTGTCGAGCCATTGATGAAGTCTTTGGTCAAAAAATCTACTCAAGTGATTGCTATGTCATAGGCGAACCGATGACCTTTGATGGAGACGTTGTTGCTCAATGGTATCGACTCAATCTGAAGAATAATGGTCATGGTTATGTGAACAGCTACTATTGTCATGGCAACGTTTCTCATTGCTGATAGTATTGCACATAACTTTAATTTTATTTGTGTGTTAATTTACATTATTTGAAACATAATTATGAATCATCTAAAATAATTTCAGTTTGCGTACCATAAAAAAATGCAATAAAATCTTCATAAAACTTTCTGCTTGCAAATTAGTTTTTTTCTTGAGAGATTCATATTTTTATTATTTTGTCATTCCTCAGATATTTATTGAATGATATTCAACCTCCTTCTCCAGAAAAAGAATCGGTCTCATTACCATTCTATCTTAAAACTTAATCAATTATAATTGAAATCTTCCAGTAAATCTTCTGAAGTCATCGACACCATTTCTGCCTCTTACTTATCAGATAGTATCACCACATGATCTGAACACGATATTTCTCTCCTATTAGCAGCTTTGCTTTAAAATATTTGTCTGGAAATGTCTTCGGTCTTTACCAGCGAAATATTGTTAAAGTTTATATTTCAATGGGAAAAGAGTCATATCTAACACTTTTTCTAAAAAATAAAGCGAAACCTATTTAAAATCAGAGGTCAAATGAATCTATATTTAAAAAAACCTTTCGCAAGAATTCGACAATCATATAATACAAGGTTTAATGCATTTGTATCTGGATGCATAGTCAATTCGCGAAATTATTCACAGAATGGCCAGAAAATGAATCGATTTTTTCGCTTGAATCTATTATAAAACCAGTCTAGCCCAAAACTTGAATTGCAATAGTGCACATATATTTTACAGTCTCAAATGAATACCAAGTTTGGGAACTACATTCATTCTGTTCTTTTTTCTCCAAAAAGCTATATTTTAATAACGAGTATTAACCGTTACTTTAGTTTCCTATCTATGTATCACGTGTGATCCATATTCACCGAACGATCATGCACGCACGTGCACACAATAGAAGCTATATCATAATTGTCAACAGTTCATGGAGCATGCGTTAAATATTGATTCTTCTCTCCAGGGATCTATTATTTGAGGATGGAATAATTTACAGTGATTATAAAAATGATTTAGTTAAAAACAATGTTGCGTCCGCTACTTTTACTAACCTTATTACGAGTTGTTGCTACATCTCAATTCATCTTTTATACAACGAATCATTTACAGTTTGATTGCTTGTATTATTTCATGAAATCTCTTGTTTTACCAGAATTAGTTCAGTATTGTCATGAAACGATCAACAATACTAATTCAGAACCAATTGACTTCCTCGGTACATATGAACAAACTTTCACTTTCTCTGAGTTATACCATTTGAATATCACTGCATATGATCTTCTTTCATGGTCGAAATCAGTCGATCTGGCTGAACAATATCAATATTATATCAATCAACAAAGTCAGTTATCCATGTCGAGTAAAATATTCTTCAATTGTACACAACCATGGTTTGGAACTCGATGCCAGTATTTTTTGGAATTAAACGATTCAATTATTTTGACAGATATTGATTTAATGAGTTCTTCGATCATTACTCAGACATGCTATATACTTCTAGATTGTGTTCGTGGTGGTCCATTGATGTGTCTCGATTGGCGTGAGGTGTGCGATGGTCGAATTGATTGTCGCAATGGTGCTATTGACGAAATGGAATGTTTCAATTTAGAAATAAACGAATGTGATCCGGATGAGTATCGATGTCACAATGGTTTGTGTATTTCGAAAATCTTCTGGAAAAATGAAGAAGATACTGCTGAATGTCTTGACCAGTCGGATTTGTGGTACGAATTTGAATGTCCAACGTCATTGTTTACATTTAATGCATTTAGCATGTTTGAATGTGAAGAATATTCATGTAAACCGGGTGAACGACAATTTTCATATGGAGATGGGCAATGTGTTGAAGATTTTGATGAATGTCAAAATGGTCGTCATCTGTTACTTGTTCAGTCGATGATTAAACTAGGAAATTTATCGGATTATTGCTGGATAGTAATGGCTTGTCTGAGTAAAATTACCGATCAGATCGATGGGAAATTATGCGAACAAATTTTTAAGACGCCTCTTATTCTTAATCAGCTACAATCATGTGATGATCTTACTCAATTTCCAACAATTCCTGTTCTTTTTGGTCACGTACATTTTTTGTATGCTCCAAAAAATATATCCTATGTAAATATCGATTTAGCTCTTGTACCTGATTATGTTTGCTATGATGAACAAATGTGCGATTTTCTCATTCCTACATTTCAGCATGGAATTCATGCTTGTCGACATAGTCATGAGATGGGTTTGAAATCAAATGTGACATACGAAAGTTGGAAATCGATCATTGATGCAATCAAACCATTTTTTCGTGGTTGTCAAAATAGATATCACATTGGAAATTCTTCTGAAAATTCATCATTATATAGATGTAAGAACTCATCGAAACTCATTTCTGCTCATCGAATCATCGACAATATCTCTGATTGCTATTTGAACGATGATGAAACAGCATTTGAACTCAGTTGTTCGATGAAGGATACACAACGTTTTATGTGTCCAAATGAAATTCAATGTCGATCGCCATTATTTCGAGAATTCAATTGCCCTACTTCGATTTATCGTAGTTTCGATGAGATTTTGTTTCATGAAATATGTGATCGAATCGTTGATATATTACCTGTAACAATTAATGGGCAAAATCATACAGATGAGACTGATTGTCAAGACTGCCACTGCAATACTATTTATACACGATGTAATGGCATCCGAAATTGCCTTAACGGAGAAGATGAAGAGAATTGTACGGGATCGATTTGCCTTTCAAGATTTATTCCATGTGTTTCTCCATATAATTTCACATTGACCTGTTTACCAGTTAATCAAGTTAGTGATGGTTTCATTGATTGTCTTGGAGCATCAGATGAGCTTCAATATTGTGGAAAAGTGAATGCTTATACAGCAATTTATCAGTTTCATTGTTTAAATAGTACAAAATGTGTGAAATCTTCTGAATTATGTAATTCAGTTCAAGATTGTCCTTTAGGTGACGACGAAGAATTTTGTAAAAATCGATCACAATTATGTACCCGATACAAATTACCGAATCGTAGCCATGTGCAAGACGTACTGTGTCGTATTTTTGACACAAAAAGAATCACATTTACACTGCAAGGATCGCAAACCTATCCTCATAATCATATGAAAATGATTTCTTCTCACCCAACTTGGCCAGTAAAACGATATGACCATAATGCAAATCGGAACAACATGATATCCAAATATTTCACATGGCTGGTACGTTGTAAGAGAGGTATTCCCGTTTATCTTTGGTCGAAGTTGAAGAATTACAGTTACAGATGTTTTTGTCCACACAATTATTATGGTGATCGTTGTCAATATCAAAATCAACGTGTCAGTTTTACATTAACATTAGCAACAAGTGGTATAAACGGTATTTATTCCGTTGTTATCACCCTTGTTGATGACGATGATAATCAGCAAGAAATTAATTCATATGATCAAGTTACTTATGTGCCTGGAATGAATTGTAGAAAACCAATTAACAGCTATCTCATATATTCGACTCGACCAAAGAACAATTCGAAAAAATATAGTATTCGTGTTGATGTATTCGATAAGGCTTCATTGGCATATCTCGCTAGTTGGCATTTGAATATTCCATTTCTTTTTCTACCTGTCAATCGACTAGCTGCCATGATCACTATCCCATCTTATAGACCTTTGAGTTTGAATAATTGTGTCTTTTCATGTTACAATGGTGTTTGCACGAAATATATTAACAAAGAAAAATTCTTTTGCAAATGTTATTCAGGTTGGTCCGGAATTCAATGTCATCTACCTGCGTATTGTAGTGATTGTTCGTCTGACTCGATTTGTGTTGGTTCAATAGCAAATCGATCGATTTGTGTTTGCCCTTTGAATAAATTTGGGCCACGGTGTTTTCTCAAATATTTATGTCCGAACAACTATTGCAAAAATAATGGTCAATGTGTTGTTCTTGATCAACGAATGACTGAAGAAAGCTTCTTTTGCTTTTGTTCTGAACAGTTTTATGGACCACAATGTGAACATCCTAAGGGAGAGCTACGTATTTTCTTTCACAATATGGTTGTTCCATCGTATCTATTTGTTATTATGTTTTTAAGAACTGGTTCTGAATCACCGATACCATTATCGACAATATTGCTAAAATTAACTATGTTTCAAGATCAAATAATATTATACCCAGATTATTGGTTTCAAATTGTTTTTGTAAAAATTGATAATAATTATTATTTAGCTGTTCTTCAAGAATTTCAAGTGTCAAATATTTCAACTTCGATCGGTCCCGATCGACGATGTCTGTCAATAGATGAGCTTCTCAATTCTTCACAATTGACTATGCCTAAAATTCAACGAGCAAAATTCTATCATATTCCATGTCAGATTTATCTTGGTCTTCAATGTTTTTTCGACGAATCTTACATGTGTTTCTGTACTCGAGAACGTCATGCAAATTGTTTCAAATTTTCTTATGCAAAACATTTTCTCTGTCACTATAATATTCACTGTTACAATGGAGGAACATGTTTACAAGATAGATCTGTATGTAGTTTTAATACAATATGTATTTGTATGGATTGTTTCTTTGGTGATCGATGCCAATTTTATGCTAAAGGTATTGGATTAACACTTGATGACATGTTACGTTATGCAATTCGACCGTATATAAATTTTAATGATCAACCATATTTAGTTAAAGTAAACGCTATTCTTATAACGATTATGCTTATCATGGGTTTATTCAATAGTATTTTATGCTTTTTGACATTTTATAGTCAAGAATCACGGGAAGTCGGGTGCGGAATATATATATTTGCATCATCAATTACTTCTGCTCTTGAAATACCTATGTTAACAATAAAATTTTGGTTTGTTATCATAAGTCAAATGAATTTATCAGTCAATCGTTCTACTCTTCATATGGGATGCATTCTTCTTGAACCGGTTCTCAACCTTTTTTTATATATGAATAATTGGTTAAATGCTTGTGTGGCCACAGAAAGAGCAGTAACTGTATTCAAAGGCATTCATTTCGATAAGATTATGAGTAAATCTGTAGCTCGATGGATAATTCTACTCATAGCATGTCTTATTACAGGTACAATCATTTACGAATCATTAGATCGAGGTTTGTTCGAAGATCGCGAAGAACAACGTGTTTGGTGTGTAACTCATTATTCTGAAGCTGTCAAACATTTCAATATAGCTGTTCTAATCATTCATTTTCTTACACCATTAGGTGTCAATCTCTTATCAGTGATCTTCATTGTTTCTGCAATTACTCATCAACGAGCAATGATTCGCACTCAACATAACTATACACGACATCTTCGTGAACAACTCTATCGACATAAACATTTAATTATCAGTCAGCTTGTTGTAGTCATCCTATCACTTCCTCGTTTCATAACATCATTATTCACTGGATGTGTCAAAGACTCGCATAATTCATGGTTATACATATCTGGTTATTTAATTTCGTTTGTACCATCAGCTATTATGTTTATTGTAGGGGTGAGAAGTTATTGTTATTTTTTGTTATTAATAACAATAACAATAACAAAAAAGTTATTGTTATCAATAACAAATAACAAAAAAAGTTATTGTTATTAATAACAATAACAAAAAAAGTTATTTATTATTAATAACAAAAAAATAACAAATAACTTTTTTTTCCGAAAAATCTTAGTTATGCTTTGTTACTATGTAAAAGTATACGAGTTCTATTTGCTCATTATTGTCCAATTGCTCGATGATGTTACTGACCGCAATCTCCATTAGATAGCCTATGAAACTGAGAAAAATCCTAAAAAGATCTTTTCAAGTATCTTGCTCACCTACAGGTAAAATTTACTAATCGGTTTACGAGGAACGATTCCTCAATGTTCGATTGCCTTTGACTTGATGTTTTGGTCAAATAAAAGTCTTTGCGAAATGAGATTCTAGGTGCCATTTTTCGAGTTATGATCTGTACAATCTTTCTAGACATTTTCTCATCTCCCAAAGGGTTATATTTGACCAACGCATCAAGTCAAAGACAATTGAGCATTGAGGAATCGTTGCTCGTAAAGCGATCAGTAAATTTTCCCTATAGATGAGCAAGATACTTGAAAAGATCTTTTTAGGATTTTTCTCAGTTTCATAGGCTATCTAATGGAGATTGCGGTCAGTAACATCATCGAGCAATCGGACAATAATGAGCAAACAGAACTGGTATACTGTTACATAGTAACAAAGCATAACTAAGATTTTTCGGAAAAAAAAGTTATTTGTTATTTTTTTGTTATTAATAACAAATAACTTTTTTTGTTATTGTTATTAATAACAATAACTTTTTTTGTTATTTGTTATTGATAACAATAACTTTTTTGTTATTGTTATTAATAACAATAACAATAAATTCACACCCCTAGTTTATTGTATTTGTCTTACCATCAAATCTTTACAGGAGACAATTTAAAAGATCGATAGAAAGTCTACAACAATTATACAGTCGATTATGAATTTTCATTTTCATGTAATACTTGAATTGTTGTCGTTTTTCTTAAGAATGAATGTTTCTATGTAGTTCAAGTGTTTCATAATAATCTCAACAAAGACACGATGCGCTAAATCGGAAACTATCTTGAGGGTATGGGTAGTGTGTGGATGTGGGTGAGAGTTCATTTAAGAGATTAACCAAACCCACACCCATATAATTTTCGTTGAGATAGTTCTCATGAAACTGTAAAAAAGAATAAAGTTAAAGTTAAATAAACATGGTTTTCTATTTTATTTAAATATCTTTCTTCAACTCTTTCCAAACAAATGAATATTTTTAAAAAAATTCATTTAAACAGTAAAAGTACAAGTTTTTGATCGTTTTAACACTCTCAAACTGGTAATTTCAAGCTAAAAATGACGTTTCTGGCACTTTAATAATTAGTATAAATGGTTTACAATCATACTCCCCTTTCTACGTTTAAACGCATTTGTTCCAAATTTTCATCTTTTTAACTTATGATCAGGAGAGAAATAGATTAAATTGAATACTCTTAAATGATTTCTAAGAGATCAATTATCTTAGATCTTTTTTAAATATACCTATATTAAAAGGGTGTGGGTGTGGGTGTGGGTGGGTGTGGGTGGGTGTGGATGTGCGTGTGGGTATGACTATTGATTTACAATATATCCACACCCATACAACCACACCCACACCCCACACCCACACACCCACACCCAAATTTATCTCTGCTGTTAAATCTATACTATAAAAAAAAAATACTTTCAACGAAATCTCCATGGGATTAACATATGAAACAATGGAGTCGCTTTAGTTGTATATGAGAACTATCCCTATATTTATCATAGTCGATGATGGTTCTAAGGAGGAGAATGTCTAATTGTCTGTTATGAACTGTGGTGCGAATTAAAAGAACCAACTGCACGAGACAAAAAAAGCCTTTTTTCGATTGAAATATTTCAACTCCATTCAAAATACAAACGTCCGACGTCGCAATCCAATCAGAAAACAATCCGAAAATTCAAAAAGCCATCAGTTCATACACGTGTAAGCCCGCTTTTCTCTCGCCATTAACAGCATGTCTACTACCACTTGGTGACAAAAGTCAAAAGGTTACATAACAACACATAAGTAGATTTGATTAGACTTCGAGATTTTAAGTATTGACTCATTATTAGATACCGACCGAGATTCGGACAGTTCAAGATCGAAAAATCCAACACATCATGTTCATATGTCAGTCGCGGTCAGTGGGATAATTACCTTTCTCTCCCTCTACTTCGACACTGATTGACAATTGTATTCCACTAAATCAAGTGTTTATATTTGAATGAAAAAATGTTGTTAGATTTCAAGGACAAATATCATTGTTTCTCGTTATATGATGGATATGAAGTCAGCAAGTATACAGTTAAGCAGACTTCTACGACTGTACGACTTTAATTTTTCAGAATTTCGCGGAAGTGTAATGTAGGTTTTTCGGTCTGTAAGATAACCAGGACGAGAAAAAGGAACATCTATCTATAAGTTGAGTTTCTGGAGAGATCTCTGTGAAGCCCATCCCATGTAAATATTTTTTGCCTCAAAACGCGTCTGAAACGCGTTTCATTTGCGTGCGAAACGCTAAGAGTGAACGCGTTTGAACGCGTCCCCAGTGAAACAAACGAAGCGTTTAAACGCGATTTATTTTAGAAACGCGTGTGAATGCGCTTCTAGCTTGACTTGCGTTCAAACGCATTTTTAGCGAAAACGCGTCTCAGATGAAACATTTAATGCGTCTGGACGCGTTTCATAAAAAAACTAAAAATTTTGAAAAAAATATGATAATCCATTTCAGATTCGAACTGAGTTGCCACCATCAATATTTTTTGATGGTCTTAGCCTTCCCTGGCAAATGGATTAGATTTTACCTTAAGTGACGACGATCAGATTTGAACAGATGAACCAGTGATTAGAAGTCGTTCATACATACCGCTGAGTTATACTAACTCGAAATCTTGTCTTATTCAAAATAAAATATATTTGAAGACGAATTTCATCGGTTAAATACTTTATTTTAACAAGATGTATTTTTTTCGAATTCAAGAGTC